CAAGGATGCCATAGCCTACATGTCCATGTGTTTTATTTTTATTTTTATGCATATTGCATATGTTATCTTCCTAGACTTGCATATGTATCACAACAACGTTTTTTAGTCACAATTGGAACATTGGTTGTTGATGATTTTACACACACGTGGGGATTACGTTTTACTATGACAGTTACTGTGGCCACATTTCCCACCATATTCTATGCAATAGTTAGGATTAAAACGTGAAGACAGTATATATTCTTGCGTGAAATAAGGTTTGCTTCTGAGTAAAATTTGAGAGAGAAACGTTTACGCAGGCCTGCATCTGACGTCGGTGTTTTCTTTTTCCTGTCATTTCACTGCTTGGGCAGTAGAGTCCGCTAGAGTATTACAGATGTCTCTTCAGTGCCAGAGGAACACTCCTGCATAAGAACACTGTCAGTATTTTAATGTTATATGAGTGACTCCAGAGCCATTTGTTTCTTATGTTTATGTTATATTAGTGACTCCAGAGCCATATGCTTCTTGGTATAGGTGATGCGAATTGTTTGAGAAAATGTAATCGTATTTGCAGGGTGAATGCATGCACAAAGAGTCAACGGTTGTTTCTCGTATGATTAATTTCAAGCAGGTCGCAGAGACAAGCAAATTGTTCTTCTCGGTTAGACATTGAAAGGGGGAAGTGATTAAAAATAATAAAGCGTTAAGCAGTTTGTCTCAGAGAAGCCGATAAAGGCCTGGCACACTAAGACATTGCAGCATGAAATTCAACGTTACAAATACACTGGTGGTTTAACAAATGAAGGCATCTCCTCCGGGCAAGGGCGCAGCGCTAATCTCATTGTGGCATGTTTAATCATTAGAAGAAGGGAGACGAATAAAGGCATTGGGTTTGCCCGCCAGCAAAAGGTGCTTGGATTTCTGGAATCAAACCGCTCCAAATGATTTGTGCCTCGGGCCAACCTCCCCGGGCCATGACTTAGTCACATAACTAAACCGGACATACTTTTACCTGCATATTATTTATAGCCTTTAATCATAGAGGGGAAAATTGGTCTTGTCACTTTATACATTTATCATGAGCAGCACCTCGAGGCAAACGGGGTTACCTTTATCAAAGCCTAACCGCCAGCCTGAGGCATCGAAACACACTGAAATTCAGCGATTAAAGAAAGGAATGATCAAAGATATTATACATCGTCCTGAAGCAATCTTAATGCAGTCAATCTGAAGACTTATTTAATCAACTGTATAAAAGGTATTTCCTCATTCATTTGTGAACAAAACTGTTCGTTTTTTTATAATTTGGGACGATTTGGGTGTGAACTATCTATTCTTCCGAAGGCCTTTTTTGATTAATTTGAAAATTAATTATGTGATGATGGTGAATGCATGTTTCTGCAGTAGCCTAGTTTGGTATTGTATTGTGTCCATTATAAGCATGAGAACCGTCTTATAAAATAAGCTGTTTACAGCACTTAGCTCTCTATCATGTATTCTTATAAAACAAAAACTAATCCAACATTATTTTTATTTCGGTGGAGTATAGGCTAATTATTTATATCACCCGACTATTACATACCTTTATGCATGCTCCAGTTTTAGTTACACACACAACCAGTGATAAAATACCTAGGAATTCCCATGTGAATTCAAAATGCATTGTTTAGAGTGTATTATTGTTTAGAGTGTATCCATGCCTTTAGCGACAACTGGGCGGTAAATGCAAGCCACAAGCCTCGCATATCCTCGCCAGAGCTCGTGCTCGAGCTTATTCTGCACATCAGCACTCTCCCTGTTCGATCATTATTGGGTCCGATACCCACCAGAAGATGCACTCACTCACTCCCTTCAACGCTGAGCCTGAGACCCTCTAGCAGCAGGGAATGACATGGTGTTGTCATCCTCAGATTACGTAGTTTCCCGAGTTAAATATAACGACAGAGGTGATTTATTACAGTATTATTATTATTATTATTATTGTTATTATTATTTGGATTGCTGTGAATACGACTATCATTAGGCCTACTAGTAGGCTACTGTTATCATAGCAATTAGTGTGCTTTTTATTTTAATTGTCAGTGTGAAATGATATAGCCCCGTGTAGAGCAGTTGGTAGAGCATGGCGCTTGCAACGCCAGGGTTGTGGGTTCGATTCCCACGGGGGGCCAGTATGAAAAAAATGTATGCACTCACTGACTGTAAGTCGCTCTGGATAAGAGTGTCTGCTAAATGACTAAAATGTAATAACATATCAAATATGTAGCCTATTAATTCATTTAGTAAGTTAAGCTCACTTCGTGCAGTGGGCTGGTTGGATGGTGCATACACTTATTATAAGTCACTTTTGCCAGGAATCGGTCCCGTCATGTTAATTACTTTGCTAAACAATGCCATGCACTGCCCATAGTCAGAGTGAAAAGGCAAGCGGCCTGTTTGAGTTACCTGTGAAAGTAAACAGGTAAACACAAGGAGATGGCTCTCGAAGTGAAGTACGGCCACTTAGCCTGTGCACATTTACCTCTTCTTGCCGAAACCCTCAGTTAAATTGTTCAAATACATCCCCAATAACTGCCCACAGATCGCGCTCGTGTGCTCCTACCACCAACACCAGCGCGCTCTCTCATTTTGCCACCAAGAATCATGGCCAAGCGCAATGCCGGTAAGCCTATAACCTAGCATGACTAAAAATAACGTATAAACTTCAAATTTGCGGAACATAAAAATGACTCGTTGTAAAATGAAGGAACAGCTCGATATTGAATGTAGCCTATTGATGAGATGTGCACATAGGCGTTGCAAAAAAAGTCTACCGTTGTAGCCTATGTGGGGCAGTAAAGTCTTGCTATGTCACGGCTCGACTTTGCTCAAACCCCGTTCAGTTCAATAGAACCATTGTAGCTGATTGAGACAGTGTGATTTATTCTAGGTGCCAAAACTCTGCTCTGGTGAAATATTTAGCTAGGTGAACTGCTAGCTCCGTGAGAGACGGAAAACAGACCTACCACCATGCAGTGTTGATGGGGACCAATAATAATAATAATAATAAAATAATAATAATAACAATAATAATGTTGATATTCTCATACAAATCTTTTGTAGGCCTATTTCAAACTGTGGAAGGACGCTCTTTCCTCCGTGAAAATTACCCCTGTGGGTGGGAGGGTACCCCACTTTGTAGCCCACTGTATTTATTGAGCCAGTAAAGTAAATGGCATGTTTAGGCACTAGAGAAGCTGTTTCGACACCTTCCTCGTCTGTGCCCTAGAGAGGGAGAAGGATAAGGAGAGTGTATGTGTCTATGTGTGTGCTAAAATGGACTTTCCTTAATATTGTCGAAGGATTCAGGATTGAGTGAAGAGATAGTCCATTGAAAGCAGTTGAATGCCATGACAACTAGGAACAACCTCAGATTTATTCCAAACAGTTAGAAAGCATTGTACAGGGGCGTCAATCATCCATTATTTCGCCCCTGAAATAAATGCAAAAACTGCACCCGGACAAAACCTTCCAACAGGAACCGGACATTTGTCTACATTTCCCCCATTGTCTGCAGCTTAGCAATCGGTTTGTATTTGTGTTTGCCCGGGTCCGACCACCCAGGATGCGCAGAGGACTTGCTAGAAACGTGCAACATTGTCACCCACATCACATACTAGATAGGAGGCAGAGGGGCAACAGCAGAGACAGGGGAAGCTAAAAAAAAATCATTGAAGGGAGGAAAATAAAGTAATCTGCAATGATACTTCGCTTTCTACGAAAGAGGTGACGATGGAGCACTTATAAAGTTCGTCGAAGGAGCCTGCACAAACAATAGGCTACTCTGCTATGTTCTGGGGGAAAACGCACATAGAAGAAATGTCATAAGAATAATGGAATTGGAAAAATGTGTACAAAAATATACAAAAATGCTGTGAGAACCTATTCTGTTCAATTCAATATAGTAGGTTTAAAATCATAATTGTCAAGTATAGGATATAGTCCTAAATAGCCTATATAAAAAACTATTCTTAATCTCGGCTAAAACGCTGCTAATATTCATAGGCTTATGTTACATTATTATTATGATGAGTATTATTGATTTATTTCCTTATAGGCTGTTCGTCATTATTATTATTGTCAGTCGGTTATCATTGCCCTTTTTAGGTCCGATCGATGTTTTCCAAACAAATAGAATCCGATTTTAAGCCCCTTGTCCCCTAAGCCTGAACCAAAATATTGACTCAAATGTTTTACATAAATTTGTGTTGAAAATTCAAACATAATTTTATTTAGGAGAGAAAGTATGATAGAAAGTATTAGGCTATCGACCGGGCATCCAGACCACAGATTTAGACCAACCGCCAAAAACGCAGTTTTCCTATGATTCAATATTTTATATATGTGGAGAGAAGCCTATAAAGCAAAAGCTTTTTCAGGAGCAATTTGTTAAAACTCGCTTTCAAGTATTCGGAGTATAAAGCTACTTGGAGGTCCTTTGTATGTAAATAGGGTGTAAAAAAAAGGCCCTTCCCATCTTTGTAATTAATTGACACGTTATACCACTCATCATGTTCTGAAGCACCAATGGTAGAGGCTCGGATCTCCCCAAAACCCGCAATTTCACATCTGCAAACACTGTCTTCATCCACTTGACTCCCAAGACCCGCCCACACGTGGCCAACCTTTTGCGTTTTTAATGCTTTTTCACTGCAGGTTCATGTGTTGAGACCAACCTTATATGGGCTGATCGGACCGGTAATGGCTTATTTCTCCGTAGCACCCAGCAGTAGCACAGTATCAATGAGCCAGATATAGCACTTCAACCACTTTGGCATTCTTCCTGGACTTACAGAACTGATTCCTCTACTACTTGGTTAGGCAATGGTTATCGACAGAGGCTCATGATTTGCTTTGAATAGAAAACGTAAAACGGCAGTGAGATAACCTTTTTTCTGATCAGCAATTGTGTTTTGTGTTTTAAAACAGCGGATTGCCAAACTGGTGCAGCAACTTTCCAGCATACATTTCCCCAGAATATGTCGTTGACCAACACAAAGACGGGCTTTTCTGTAAAGGACATTTTGGACCTCCCTGACACGAATGATGAAGAAGGATCTATCACTGGACCGGAAGAAGATAACGAGGGATCGGAGACGACAAAAACCACTGGAGTTTTGGTGCAAAGTCCGCTAGTAAACGTTCAAAATCTGCCTATAAAGAACCGCTTTTATGATAGTAGTGACAATCCTTACACAAGATGGCTTGCCACCACAGACACTATCCAATATTCACGTAAGTAGCCAACTCTTTAAGAATCGTAAGTTAATTTGCAATGCAGTTAAAAGTTAAGACTTTTATCTGCCTGTTTTGTGAGTGAGAACGCATCATATGTATGTTATCCAATTTATACTTGATGGAATGTATAATCTCTATTCCGTCGTGTCTGGGCTCAATGGTGCCCTTGAATGATGTGCAGCGTTCATCTTTATTCGCCATGCATTGCTGCGCTCGTCTTAAGGCGTTACCACCATTTAAATAATTTCATGTTTACATGTGCTCTAGTTACACTAAACGTTTTTAGAATATGATCGATAGAGACTTGTAAATGCATCGACTATAAAGCCACATAAAATCGACTTCAGAAATTTGACCCTGTGTATTACATTTTTGCAGGATGAGGATTTGTAGGCAGACAGTGCATGGTGTTGCTGCTTCAGTGAATCACGTTCTTTTGGGACTGATGGGAATCATTATTGTGGGTCCCAACATTTAAAAAAAACGAATAACATTGTATTTTGGCTGTACAAACGAAATGCGTTACTTTAACATGTTGCTTTGAAAAATTCCTATTACATGTAGTAGCCTAGCATTTCCATGTGTGCTTGGCAGGTGCACTTCAGCAGAGAAAACAATTTTAATGGTTGTATTTTGTCTCTCCCACGCAGTGCATGGTCTTTCAGCTAGTTCTCAAGACTCAGCCAAGTCCCCAGAACCCTCTGCGGACGAATCGCCAGACAATGACAAGGAAACTTCAAGCAACGGCAGCGACTCCGGTAAGAAGCGAAAAAGAAGAGTGCTGTTTTCCAAGGCACAGACGTACGAACTTGAGCGTCGGTTTAGGCAACAGAGATACCTCTCCGCGCCAGAGAGAGAACACCTCGCGAGTTTGATTCGCCTGACACCAACTCAAGTGAAAATTTGGTTCCAGAATCATCGGTACAAAATGAAGAGAGCGCGCGCTGAAAAAGGTATGGAAGTGACCCATCTCCCCTCTCCCCGGCGGGTGGCCGTACCTGTCTTAGTCAGGGATGGAAAGCCTTGTCATACTCTTAAAGCTCAGGACTTGGCGGCCACTTTTCAGGCTGGATTCCCCCTCTCGGCGTATAGCGCCCAGACCCTTCATCAAATGCAATATAATGCTCAGTACAGCGCCGCCACCACGCCACAATTCCCTTCAGCACATCACTTGGTGCAAACGCAACAGTGGACTTGGTGAACTAGTTGAGACTGACGGGGCTGCCATTTAGGAGCACGATAGGGAGTTCACTAGAAAATAAAGACTTTTCATTTTGCAGCTCGACCCATATCTACAGTTTTTTTCGGGGCTAATATGTGCGCCGTGTTTACATGTTTTCGTTAAGAGAACTGGGTCAAGCCTCTCCCTAGATTTAAGAATGTCAATGCTCTTGTGAAATTTTGTACAGTATGTTTGTGTTGTAGATATGTTTTCTTTTTGTCCTTCGTGTTATAAGCACGTACAAAACCACTTTATAATTATAGAATATTTTATTTCTTGCTTATTTTACAATGGACCGAAAATATTTATGGCCATGAATAAACATTGGCAACTTTTAGCTTTTTTCCCTTTGTTTTTGTTTTTTTGTAAATACTTTGTGGTAATTGTTTGCAACCCAGAAACATTTCAGGATCGTATAAGTGGAGATATACATATTTCCAATTCAAAAAGAAGGGAACATTTCTGGCGAAATTGTTTTGACTGTCTAACAGATCCCATATGATTATGTGAATAACAGTTAAATCGCGCGCTGATGGGGAAATATCCCGATTTTTATAAGGATTTTAATAAAATGCTGTGTTTCAGAAATTACGTTTTGGTTTGCGTGTCTTAACTATACGTCCTATTTGATATATTGAATACATACGCTAAACGTTGTTAAGGTGATGCATGGCAGCCTATACGTGTTGTGTAAAGTGGCACAGAAAGGAGGTGAATTTATGTTTCGCGCACTTAAATTATTTCTTTTTTAACCTAAATAAATCCGTCTAAATGTTCTGAATTTGGACACGTCAGTAATAAGTAGGCTAAAGTCACTTGTGAAATGGGGCTAAAATCCACTCACTTAGTATAATATAAGAGGGCTTCTTCAGCTAAGAAGCTTTTGAGTCAAAAGCTCTCCTTTTCAAGGTCTCGAACTCCTCTCGGATTGGGGTGTGAAGTGGTAGGCCTATATTTTAAAAACGGATTTATTGCAAAGACGTTTTGATTTTATGCACGGTTTTACGCACGTCATTGTTGTCAAACAAACACAAACAGTGAAAGGAATATCAGTCAATTCACGAGTCTTCAATATCCCTTGCTCAATGCTAGCTTATGCTTTAGCTTTTTATGGATGCAGGCAAATAGATGGATGGGCTATGGATGTGTATCCAAATAGCTATCTAAAACAGTGTACCAAAATAGTCGACTCAAGAACCAAATGGGTCCCAAGTGAATCACAGAGCGCATTGCGATTATCAGACCCAATTCAGTAAATTGGGTAAATATGATTACCTTTGGCAAAATCTTAACTGCATTGTGTTTGTCCCAGCACCGAGATCTTATAGAACAGATGTTAGAGTCGCCCTCACTATCATTGAACAAACAGCTAAATTGACACCAATTGCTAATTATTTACAGAATCCTATCTCAAGGGGCCACTGCTTTTGGTCCAGGCTACAGAGACTCAATTTGTTTTCTTCAGAGAGGCTACAATGTTTACATTTGCAAGCTGTGCTGGTGATGTATTCCCTGATATTATTCGTTGCTCTATTAACTATGTAATATTATTACTACAAGCTAATGGCGGTGTTGTATCGCATTCTTTATTCAAAATGAAGTTGTTGTTTATAGGCTATAAATAGTTTTTCAATGGAAATAGCCATTCTTGAATGACTTATAGGCTAATAGTTCGATTTCATATAGCACCACTATATGGCTATACGGCTATACGGCTCCTCACCCATGGTGCTATAATTGTTATATATATTTTTAAAGGTCGCAGACCTGTGGAAGTGGGAATGATCAATAAATGGAAATATAATTTATAGCATTTGATTTTCATTTATAACATACTTTTTCTAGATTATTGTTGCCTGCATTTGGCTATACGCCTATACCCTCGAGTGAAAAATATGACACTAATGTCAGGCCACAATACAACTAGACTACACAAGTAGGCTACAATTATACAATCTAATAAACACCCATCGCTCTAGCAACCTGCGTAAGAGCGCTGACATCATTTGAGTCTACTTAAGTCAATAAAACATGTTGATTTCTGTGTGGCCCTAACCCCGATGCCCAGAGATTTAGCACTGTGAGGAGGCAGTTTTGTGCAGTCTATCGTTACACAATATACAGTACACCACACAAAAAGCACACAAAGGCGTAGGGCCAGTTGTCGTGGATGTTAGAGGCGTGCATATTAACGAGGATCCAGAGTGGGAGTGCAGACAGTGTGGATAGAGAGCCTGTCAGAGTTTTTTGGGGCTATTCAATTCCTTTATCTCGACCAGTGCATCCCCGAGTCAGGGAGATGTATCCTTGGTTTTTTGTCGTGCCTGTCAGTTAGTGCCATTGTGATCCTTGTTGTACACGTTGTATCCCATATGGACAGCTGGGCTCGGGCAAGGAGAAAAGGATCCCTCACAAAACCCAAATTGTGTCCAGCTCTCAAATAAAGCATTGTTGTCTCAAAGAAAAACGAATTAAAAATTCGTGCTATATCTATTCTGGGAAAAATAACCCCCATTCACCGATAACAGGGAGTCCTTCTTCCTCGATAGAGCTACGCTAACAACAGCCCTCTCATTTCTCTTTCTCTCTCTCTCGTTCCCCTCGATCCTCCCAGCTCAAAGAGTGATTATTGTCTGTCCCCAAAAGTGTGTGGTCACTCCGCAGCAAAACTATTTTAAAACTCATAATTTCGAGCAGTCTTATTTCCTGTTAGCTTTGTATCAGTTTCATGGGTAGCATATTTCTGATCTCCGTGGAACATATCTGACTTGATTTATATACCATGACACGAGACAAGACATTTAGGAATTCTGGAATCTGCATGAAATAATAAATTCCCTCAGCTTTATCCGTTTAATTTTCCAGACGTTTACATTCACTTGAAGACACATTGTAGACTATGAATGGATAATTACCATGTTATATGGGTATTTTAAAACACGTATATGACTAGTTTTTAGAGGATAAACGTGTTGTTTTCAACAATGACTATACGATGAATGCAATAGGCCAACAAATAGAGAAGACAGAGCACGGGATATTGGTTTTGCATTTACATTTGTTCTTATAAATCTAGTCGGATGCAGGCCTAAATGCATTTCTCCGATAGCTCTAGGCCTACTTGTTTATTTATTTATTATGTTTGTTTGTTGTCTTTGACCTTGGGATAAGAATGGAATATAATAAAGACAGGTCTCCATGCAGACCTAACGCGCATTATTCTCGATAACAATGACTAACTTGCTGAATAGCACAAAGCTCACCAAGATTCAGCATTTTTTTTTTGTTCTATGTCAGAGAGGGGATTATTATCAAGGCTATTACTAATTCCCAAGAGCATGCACAATGTATGTTAAATTTTGATGGCAAAAGTTACTATTGCATATGTTCAAGGTCTATCACATTTAGGCGAAGTTCTACGGGGGTTTTTTTTGGATATGGAAGTGTGTACACCTCAAACCCAGGTAGCAATATTCTCCATGACGCACATGCACCTTGGCATCCCATTTTGGTTCTTATATTCTGATGAATACACGAGGAAATTATGCAGCTTTTCAATGCCAGAACAGTAGCAGCGCTATGTTTATCTGAAAATGCTTTAGGATGCACTACGAAACTCAACAACATTAAACAAACATATCGGTGTGGGCACCATAGCTCACCCCGTGGATAATGCTATTATATGCTTTAGAATAGAATACTTCAGGAAATGTGCACTTGGGGCTCTGTGGATCTTCGTCATTCTGACCGTTTGAACCTCAACATAAATCATTCTGTATCGTGTACATCTCCAAATAAACGAGGATTTCAAAGCTATAATAAGCAGGGCTTTCATTTAAAGGAAGCAATCTAGTTTTATTGCCTTAAAGAAGATCCAGATTAGATTCGCCTACCACCGTGGCACATTGCAGATATTAAAGAAAGAGAGAGAGAGAGAGAGAGAGAGAGAGAGAGAGAGAGAGAGAGAGAGAGAGAGAGAGAGAGAGAGAGAGAGAGAGAGAGAGAGAGAGAGAGAGAGAGACAGAGACAGAGACAGAGAGACAGAGAGACAGAGAGACAGAGAGACAGAGAGAGAGAGAGAGAGGAAATAATAGGAAATTAAACTGTTACACCTGGTTGCCACAAGATGGAAGCAGAGGTCTATAGTTTGGATCTATACTGTGCCCTTGTCTTCAAAACGAATAGGCAGTATAATCATTATAATTTACTATATTTTAATATTATTTTACTTATTGATCAATATGGTGCCTTTTAAAAAGAACAATCATATGCTTATAAAAAATGGGTTGAATTAGAAACAAAGACAAACTTGGTGTAGCCTACAATGTCGACCAATATTTCAATGACATGCATTCCAATATTATATTACACTTTTGAAAATAAAACCAATTACCCACTCATTAAAAGAGAGAGAGAGAGAGAGAGAGAGAGAGAGAGAGAGAGAGAGAGAGAGAGAGAGAGAGAGAGAGAGAGAGAGAGAGAGACCAACTCCACAGTGTGGCGCAATTGGATTCTGAAATAAATTTCCCATATCATTGATTGCCATATGCATGAAATTGATTGATATTTCTGATTATTGTAGCACCGAGGACATCTAAGGGCAATTACAACATGCAATTTTCAATACGTTGGTGGAATTTAGAGGATGATTGTGAATATCATATTTTGATAAATAGCTGCCTATATGTTCAGCGGTGGAATTGGATAAAGTCATTCATGGGTACTGACCAATGTAAAGTTATTTATTATTATATTAAAAAGGACGTTTCATTGTGACACCATCATCCCCTTCTTCCTCCTCCTCCTCCTCCTCCTCCTCCTCCTCTTCCTCTTCATCTCAGAGCAATGGCGCCCTGCTCATACAAACGATTACATCCAGGGGGGGCTATTTAAGCACACATAAGCAACAATAAAAACTGCAATTTCTAACAACCTCTCTACAGAAAGCCTCCGAGTCCGTATCATTTGTATTGATGTTG